AAATTTTTTATTTACAATTCAAAAATATGCTTAAAATATGAATAAAAAAGTTTTTTCCATTCAGGTATGTTTTCAAAATTTTTTAAGAGATTAAGGAATTAAAAAAAAATAATAATTTAAAAGCAAACCAAAAACCAAATTTCTTTAGAAAAATATATATTTCATGTACATATATATCTATGTTTTTACTTTTTGCACAAGATTTTTTTAATGTTGAAGATATGTAACTTACAAAACCGAATCAAAGTAAAATGGGTGATTAAAAATTTATTTATTTATTATTTTTTTAAATAAATTTTCTTATCACTTTTATTTTGGCGTATAAATATTTCTTTCAATTGTGTGATAAAGCTTTGTACCACGATTTAATTTTAAATTTAAAAAGATGTTCACAATTAATAAAGAAAAATGTTTTTTTTATTTAGTTATTTATTTATTTAGCGTTTAATTAATTTTTTATATACATTTGTCGTCAGCCGATTAAGTCAAGTGAAATTTTGACTAGTTGTGGCTATTTTTCTTTTGTTTATTCAATGTTTATATTTTTTATATTTTTTTTTTAAGTTTAGCACTTTGCCTAACCAGCGCCACATAAATCCTTATTTCGAACTTCGTATAAAAACTATGAAACTTCAATAAACTTTATTTACTTTAGTAACCACACCCAACATTTTTTTTCTTTTTATATCAAAGAATTTGATATGAAAATAATTAAATGCATAAACGTTTTTCTGAAAATGATGATACGAGTAATATATTTGCATTAAAAAAGCGAACTATGAAGAAAGTAATAAAGGAATTAAAAAATAATAATTTAAAAACAATAATTTATTTTTTTTTTATGTTTTTGTGAACCTGATTTTACCACAGCTTACACGCATTAGAAAGACGTAGAACACAAAGCAATTAAACTTATTAAATTAAAATACTTTATAAAGGATATTATTTAAAATACCTATGCACACTCCAAATACAGCACTTCTTTTAATACCAAAATTTATTTAAATTCATCTTTATGTTTTTGTTTATTTTTCAAACATGTAGCGCATTATGTGGAAGCCGAAAAACTGCGCGGAAGACCTTTAGGTGCTGTTGGCAAATATCGCGTCCGCCGCAAATTTCCACTGCCACGCACAATTTGGGATGGTGAAGAGACGAGTTACTGCTTCAAGGTGAGTAAGTGTAAGAGCACGGCTTTAGATATGCATATACATACATACGAGAATGTGTATGTATTGCAATGTAAATGGGTACGTACAAAATTTAAATTACGTGTACGTAAGGACATGCTGAATTTTCGACACTGAAAAGTCAATGCGTTATTGTTAAAGTCAGTGTTGCATTTTTGAGTTCTGTTTGTTCATGTAAAGGGAGGGTAACGTTTTTTTTTTTTTTTTAATTGTTACCTGGACTACATATAAAGTTCCTTTGTGCATATGAGGATTTATACGTATTTTCGATAAAAGGGGAGAATGCTACATGAAATCATAGTAGTGTTATAACTTGTTTCAGCATAAACATACATATATATATATATATATATATGTACATACGTTTTCCACGGACCCACATATGTACATATACCCAATGCAGGCAGACAGTTAAAGTTTAAAACCTAAATCAGCAACAATTAAGTAGACTTTGAACACAATTCCTTATCAGGTGAATTGTGCGAGATAGGTGGCAGTTTGTTTGCTGTAAGGATTTTTTCCCTTTAAACGGAATGATGGCTGCAACAAAGGCTTCATTTGATTAACCAGTGACCTTAAAAATTGGTACAGATATGTGAGGAGGGTAAAACTTTTTTTCAAGTCAAATGGAAAATGCATACCATTCATAATTTAAAGATTTTCGATCGAACAAAGAGGAAAATCTAAGCTCGAAAATGAGTTACTAACCTGAACGTCTAAGCTATTTTCCGCCGCCTTTATAAATGCTTATTAGTCGCATTTCTTATTACAATTCTATGTAAATAGTTCCTAGTAAAAGAATAATTAAATAGCTTACCCCTTCTAATGAATCCTATAGCCAGCGAGTTCTCATGCAGCAGATCCAATTTTGTAAGGAAGACCTACTCAGTAGTAGGCGATTTCCTAAGCCCTGGCCACACAGAACCCCAGCAAACAGCGCAGTGTTACCCTGTTCCTTGACAATATTGAAAGCGAATACCTCATTTCAAGGAGTCGGGTTGGCCATTTGGCTGCCTGAAAAAATTAATACTAATGCGTCCTCCAATTCCTTCTTAGGATTTATACCGGCGCAGGTTGAGGTAGGAAGGGATTTTTTTACTACAAGTTTCCTGACCAAGCGGATATGGAGTCAGAAAACTTTCCACAGAATATCAATTTAGAACATCTTTTAATAAAAGTTGTAGTCGAGAACTCAAGGTTGCAGATCTCTGGAGGCAGTAACTTTGGATGCTTTTCGTTGTGGCACTGCTAAGCACTGCCGAAATCGGCTTGTACGTTGGAGCCAAGCTCAATTAACATTGATCTCCTTCTTCCGGTTGGTGAAAAGGGTCCCGCGTAAATTTTGTAGGGTCAGAGCGTAAAACTCTGTGCAGTAATGAGGCGAGAAAGAGAGGAAAAATAGCCGTTAACACTCAAAGATAGCTTATAAGTGGTCGCTGAGGAAGCTTCGAGATATAGCAGTTAACATTGGACACCCTGTTAATTTGTTCTTGGCTTCAAGATTTAGTTTTGGAAGCGCACTGTCACTGTCGACAGAACAGATGATGCGCCGTTAACCGCTCTAGGCGCAGTGGAAGGCAGAATGCCTCAATTTCCTCTGGTAGTGTTTGTCTACTAAATATTCGCTTATCTACTAAATATTGTCTGATATGTGTTAAAAATCTATTTAAAAATGAGTAAAAACTTCAATTTTTTCATTTTCTTTTTTCAGGAGAAATCTCGATCTGTATTAAGAGACTGGTACGCACATAATCCATATCCTTCCCCGCGTGAGAAACGTGAATTAGCAGAGGCTACAGGACTGACAACCACGCAGGTGAGTATTTTTTTTTAGTTTTAAAATTTTAGTGTGGAGGAATTGTTTATTTTAATAAAATGTGAGTAAACAGCTTTTAATGTTTAAAATAACATTTTATGGAGACAGTTTTTAAGTGATACAATACAATCTTACACCAAGTAGAAAATTTTCAACAGAAGTTACTGGTTAAATAAACTCCTTGAAAGCGATCTATTTAATTGTAAAAAAACACTCTTGAAAACAAAAAAAATTAAAAATTTTGAAAAACAAAAATTGTGGAAGAACAAGAAAAAAAATTTTAAAAAAGCAAAACTAAAATTAAGAACCCTCAGAAAAAAAATTTTGAAAAAATTGTTTATATTAAAAAAAAATTAAATAACTTTGAGAAAAAAATATTAATTTTACCTAATTTTTCACTTGAAATGTTAGCATTTTTGTATTAGCTAAAGCTTACAAAATTTGCGTTTGTAATTTTATATGCTTTTGCCGCATGAAATTTACGAAATTTGTAAAAAGAAATTTTTTTTCGCGTTTCATTTATTTCACACAAGAAATTCTTGCAGCTCACCTTCAACTTTTTCACCAGGTTTCACATTTTCAAATTCAAACATTTTCAATATCATAATTGCCAAGAGCCTTGGTATGTATGAATACTTGCTACAATTTGTTGTTTTTTTATTGTTGTTAGTATGCATATGTACATTCATATACATACAAGTGCAAGTATACATATGTGTGTACAATTAATCAATTTCAGCAACTAATCGCTGGTCTGTTTTTCGCTTGAATGCAGCTAATTAAGTTATGCTTCGTCTAACAAACGGTAAAGGAAATTTCATTAATCACTTTTTTGACCTGATTTACCAAAAATTTAAAATCCTTAAAAAAAATTAAATTTTCTAAAAATAAAAATTAAAAAAATTGTTTAGTTAAATTTTTATAATTTTTTGTATCTCTTCTTTTGTTACATGCTTACAGGTTTCCAATTGGTTTAAGAATCGCAGACAAAGAGATCGCGCCGCCGAGCATAAAGAGTAAGTAGCAAGTTAAAAAATTCAAAAAAAAAATAAAAATTCTGATAAAAAATTAAAAAACAAATATAAGAAACGAACTAAAAATTTAAAAATAAAATATAAAAAAACGTGTTGAAAATATCAAAAGCAGCGCGAAATTATAGGCCCATGAAAAAACTTTTGATATATTTCGAGTGCATTTAAAGAACAGCTTTAATGACAGTGCATATGTTACAGAAAAAAAATATCGAAAAGTGTATTAAAATATATATATATAAACCAAAAATATACAACGCTTCACTGTGCGCGCTGTATTTATTAACCATCATTTATCAAAACTGCAGAAAACTTACAAAAATGAAATTTGCTGCAATTTCACACATGAAATGCCCAAAAAATTCATTCTTTTATTAAAAAAAAAAACAGAAAATATAACGCGTCGAATGTATGAAGATGTCATTACTTTGAAGCCTCGCAATGCCATCGTGTGAGTGTGACAGTTATTGCATGCTGGTGCATTTCACTTTTGCAAGAAAGAATTTCAAAAATACAACAGCGTACAAATGTTTCACTTATTTAAATAAATAACCATATAATTAGTGTCAAGGTTGTGAAAATATATATATGTATATATGTACATATGTATTTTATGTGAAAATTAATTTTACAAATTAGTTGCGTATGAAAAAAATTCGCATGGAAAATTTAGTCACAAGATCATGTTTGTGGCTATAAGATCTCTCTGGGGGTAGAATCACATGACCTTGACAATAAGCAATGCACAAGTCAAAAATACAAATAAATATTATTACACTTGTGTACATATGTATTTATGTACATATGTGTAAACACCCACCACCATCGCTCCCCCACAAATAGCTTGCTGGCAATTTTGAGCCGTCACACAAACTATTCATTTTCATGAATGTGAGACAAAACAGCTTTTTGGACAAGAACAAACTACACAAGGTCCAACAACAATCGAAACAAATGGCAAATATTGCCAAGAAAAAAAAAACCGGTATTGCACGAGTTAGATTGCTCTGCTGGTAGCCAGTCATATTTGCACTTGTTCCTGTCAAATTTGTTTAGCCAAAAAGTAAAAACTAAATTAAGAAAAAATGTGTTTTAATTTATATCTACTCTTACGTATGTATATATCTAGCCATTAGAGGTTACACAGTTGTCGTCGGTTTTTCAATTTTAGTATCATAAAATTCATATTTTTAAATAATGATTTTTTAAATACATATGTACTACCTTCTGATCAAAAAATGCCCATAAGTTCTCATTTAAACAAATCGCGCTGGAGATACTTTTCATTTTAATTTTTCTCGATATTGGTAGTACTCACGGTGCAGTAGTACTGTCAGCTGGGTTTTGTGTAATCATTTGTTAAAAAAAATTAGTATCTGATTTGTTATGCAAATTTTGCACTGTCGAATTTAGTTGAGCAGAGTTCTTCTAAAAACGATTTTCTTTTAATACATACAATAAAATCTAAAAATTAAAAGAAAATTAAATTAAAACAAGTAAAAAATCTAAATAAAAAATAAAAAAAACTAAATGAAATCAAAAAATGTTATTCTTTTCAAAGCAATAAAATTTAAAAATTAAAAGAATATAAAAAAAAACTGTTCCTTAAATAAATTGAATTTGAAATTAAAATAAATTGATGCGAAAGGAAAAAATAAAATTAGTTTCTAAAAATTAAAAGAAAATTAGATTATAAAAGAAAATTAAAGAAAAAGAAAAAATAAACTAAGTTTCTAAAAATTCAAAGAAATTAAAAAAAATATTTTCCTTTCCTTTTGTACCGAAAATCTCAAGTTAACTGCCGATTCTGAGTTAACTACGCACCAGGAATTTGGCCCTAAAACAGTTAAATCAAAAAATTAAAAGAAAATAAATTAAAAACCAAAAAAAGAAGTTAAATAAAAAATATATACTTTGGAGCGGCGTGAGCAACATAATATCGATGGCAGCGTGGAAGATGGACCTATCTCGGCAGCTAGTTCAAAAGCGCTCTATCTCAAAAAACCTTTCAAGAACGCCCTACTTCAGAATTTTATTGAAGATCGCCCTATTTCAAAATTTTTTTGAAAACCACCCTATATCAGTTTTGGTTAAAGAACGCCCTATCTCAGAATTCGGTTCAAAAACGCCTCAACGAAAATACATTGAAAATGTGCTGAAACTGGACGTTTTTGAACCGAATTCTGAGATAGGGCCTTTTGCAATCAAGTTCTGAGATAGGGCATTCTCAACCAAATTCTGAAATAGAGCGTGGTTGAAAATTTTTCTGAGATAGGGCGTTTTCGAACTGGGTGCCGCATAGGTCAATCTTCCACTCAGCCAACGATATACGGCGACTCAAATAAATGACCACGTGTTGATTTTTTTTTTAATATTCGTAATGTTTTTCGATCTAAATTTTTTTGTTGTTATTTTTCTATAAAAACACCGTCCAAGCTTTAACCAAAAACATATAAATTACAATTTCAAACTTTAGAAAAATTCAATAAATTTTCATCAAAATTTTAAAATTTTGTATCTGAATTTTATATCCCATATAATTTTAATCTAATGAAGTGCAAGTTTCAACCGGCTAAAAAATAGCGTAGAATTTTTTTTTAGACTAATTTGCGCTTTTTTTATATAAAAAGTGCAATTACAAAAAACTGGCGTCGATTTTTCGAAATTTTATTGTTAACGGTCTCCCCACTTTATTTCATAAGAAATTAGTGCTTAAAAGTGCAAAAAATTTTGCTTCGGTTTGCTAAAGAAATTTTGGAATTTTTTGATCAGACGGTGCATACAATATTTTAAATCCTCTCAATATATGTATGTACATACATATTTATATTCACTTTGGCTTCCACATATCGAATAAGATATGATTTCGTTAAAATAGCTAGCAAACATACATACACACACTTTTAATTTTATATATTTAAAATAAATCAGCATTTTTGAGTGTAGCTGACATGAAAGTATACATTAATTAGATTTTCTGGCAAAAATAAGATATTACCATGGCGAAAATAAAGACCTTAGACAATGCAGTGCATTTCAAATTAAAAATAAGTAGTCGAAAAAAACTTCTCGGATTACACTTGAATTTCGTTTTTTTATTTTTATTTTTTTCTCAGATTTCACAATGGGTTGCGTTGGGCACATTCAAAAAACAAAGCTCTATTCTTAGTGAAAATTTTAATTAGGCTAGCGTGGCTAAGGAGTAGAGTTCCAGTAGACTTTAAACTTTTAAGTAATTTTCCCTTTCAGAACCATTTAATGTCTCTGATGTAGAATTTCAGCAGAGCTTCGAGCACTTGTGCGCTATCCATGATCGAAAGATTACTCGTTTTGAATGAAATGAAATAAAATGACATCCCCCCAGACATTCTGTTACCAGTTAGCGACAATTTTCGGATCGGTTCCGGTTTTGTTGACATATGATATGAATATTTTTACGTCAACAAGTGCAATAGCGATCCGAAACTTGTCGCTAACTGGTTACAGAATCTCCACCCTGCGTAAAGGTCTGATTATGGCATCTTAACTTAACTTAACGTAACTTAGAACTCAGAAAATCAAAATGAAACAGACCTTGACGTGGTGTTAAGTTTCGCCTATCCAAATATAAACAACATCCATTTAAGAGAATTTTTAAGTGACAGCCTTTAAGTTACGTTAAGTTGCCTTAACAGAAACGAGCGGGCTTCATCTATTTAAATTGTAGTGTAAAGAAAACCACACAGTCATTTTGTTTGATTCGATTCAAAACGAGTAATCACCCAAGGAACTACTCACTACTGAATATATTCAATAAAAAACTTAGCGAATAAGAATGAATAGAATGTCCTTCCCGACAACAGTGCCTATATCTTTTCGGTCTTTGACCTTAGGTATATCTGAGCTATCGCAATCTTCTTTCTGGAGGCAACCAGCTGTCTTGCATCGGAAAGAGAGTGGTAATTATAAAAGTTATTCCAGCCTTATCATTCACTTCTAAATACTAGCTCGCTGTTGAACATTTGTACTTGGACTAAACCGACAATTTCGAGTCTCTTTCTTTATATAATCATCACTTTCCTCGTTTCGTTCCGATGACGCATTGTAATCTTATTACATTAAACGAGCAATTCTTGTATATATGTATATATCCATAGGGTTCTGGGGAAAAGGCTCTAACGATTTGAAGTTTTGTATACAGATAATATTTTGGATTTTAAGGTTATCTGAATAGGCAATATCTCCGAGAAGACTCGTATAAGGTATGGGTATCAAATGGAAGCTAATTCAAAAATATTTTTAATACGGTTGCCACCTATTTTGAATAGCATATTTATTAAATTTTTTTGTTTAGAAAAAATAGGTAAAATATTAGATACTATTCATGGGTGAGAAGGTTCTTAAACAATGCTTACCCTAAATAAAAAATGATATCCCTTAGGATAATAGTGTAAGGTTGCCACTTAATTCCGATTCTACACAACTTATCTTAAACATCGCAATATTGATATCAAATGAAAGGTATTGTTGAGAACTTTGGTCAGAAAATGTTACCACACTTCTATGTAACACATATTTTAATTTTGTTAATTTTAATCGGCTTTTTTTTATGTATACACAGTACATATACACTCAAGATATGTATCATTCATTCCAGCGTATTTCAGAATAGGGTTGCCACTTAAATCTTGGAGCAGTAAATTTACTTAATAGATTTCGAAATCCAACTTTTTTCCAAAATGTTTTTTTTTAAAGCTATGCAAATGTTGAAAGCTTTAAATAGTATATGCACTCCGGGCGAAGCTCGGTCAAACTGGTACTTATTTCTAAACAGTGCAATGAGTGCGCACTGAGTCCAGCTACTGATCTTGGATTTTTAAGGCCCGCTTTCAATTGTGTCTTCTAACCACTTTCATTTTTTTCCAAAGTCGTCGCTGAGATACATAAATATATACATACAAGATATAAATGTAAGAGTATGTACCCTTATTCAAATGCACTTAATTCTCC